AAATCGCGTATATTTGTTTTTTCAAACAAACCGACGTTTCGGGCCCTTTACAGGTCCCATGGTCACGGTTGACTGAGGTGGTACAGTCTTCAACCAGTTATGTCTAATATTAATGCAAACCACCCTATTTTTTCACTATAGTTACAATAGTTATTAATTAAATACCTTATTTTTAATTTTACAAAGAAAACATTCCAATTTACGCTACATTAAGTTTTACAAATTATTTTATTGAATGAATTTTTATTAGGTTTAATTTATTATTAATTATTAATAGAAATTAGAATAAACTAAAACATATTAATTAGTACTGCAGTCTTATGTCTGTTTGGGATTTTTCATTAGAGGAAATACTGGATCCCAAACTGGTGGTACGGAGAAACCATCTTCCCTGTTGAAATTAGGATGTTTTTTAATTTCAATGGCCTCTCGCAGCATCCTGGGTAGATAACGGACTTCTTTTGCAAGGACCTGGGGTTTGTCAAACTTCATTGAATGTGTAGGTTGTTTTAAAAACATTGAATGTGTAAGTTGTTTTAAAAAAGGTTGTTTTTTTGGTTGTTTGAAAAAACAACACGACAGCTTAGGGTACCTTCAGATATATCACCAAAAAGCAATGAATTTTTAAAGGATGATGGGCAAAAATGGTCGTAAGTCCAACAGAATTGATATATACACTAAAAAAAAGCTTATTTATAATACATAAAATAATACTATGACAATAAGTATCAAAGTCGCCGGAGAATCGAGCTACGGAGTGTCAAAACAAGTGAAAATTAAAAAATACCATTGTCAAAAACACGCACATAAATGTATGCTTTTGTTTATCCCACCACTATTATTTATTTATATAAATTAATAAATTATGTATGCTATAATTACACATTCATTTTTATTCCTTTAAATTCTTATTTATATTATACGTATTGTGTTGTTTATTATACTGTACAAAAGAATATTATATTGTATGTATGTCACTTTGTATGTATGTAATATTGCGTATATATAAATATATATTATATTATATTTCCCATACATCATGTTTTCCTTCTAATAGACAGAATTCATTTCAGTGCAGTCCTTAATATTATTTTTTAATTGTTTAAAGTGGTTAAGTTGCTATAATTATAAATACAATCAAGAATTGTAACATGGGTTGGCTGTCATTGGCCTTATTTAAATTGTACCTAATTTAAGCTTATTTTATAATCTGTTGGCTGTTGCTACCCCAAATAAAATAAAATAAAATAAAATAAAACCACTCCACGCCACCAACCGCCAGTCAGGTAGTCAGAAAACCGGTTTATAAAGCAGGTAGGTAGAATGTAGTGGTAGAAGGGGGTGCGTTTCCCCGAAACTGCGCCAGCGCTGCGTAGACTTTACTTAGTCGTTCTCTTGTTGCTTGTTCGCTATCTTCAGTTACGACTTCTTGACCCGTTATAACTTTAATGGACTACTGTGTGCCTGTGATTGGATCTGTTTGATATAAAATAATTGTGATGGCAGAACGTCGTTGTGTTTTGTGTCCCCGGTCTGTTTATCGACAAAGAAGACATGTGTTGGAGGACGACATTCCTGAGAATCGACCAGAACTGGCAGCATATATACGGCAACATGCCTTGAGACAAGTAGGTATAACTCAATATATATCATTGACGTGCATGCGAAAAGTGATGCAATAAACAAGAATCATTAATGTTACGCTCGTTGTAGTCAGGTGTATTCTGTGAATACGAGGGAGACAGTATAATACTGTTTTTTTTGTATTCTGTCTAACTCTTATGCCGCTTCCACACGTTAGCCGAGTGGAGGCAAGTGCCTGTGTGCGGACAGCCTGTTTGCATTGTGTCCCGACAAACAAATAGGGCGTAGACTGACACGCGATCCTCTTTTCTCGGCTAACGTGTGGATGCGACATTACTTACACGGCTTATAGCAACTTCTTGACAGCGAGATAGTAGTTACACAAAAGATGTAATATTTTCGATTGTAACCGAAAGCCACAGACATATATTATTAGGAGCAGATTAAACATCCAGATGTAAGCAAATCTTGATACATACTATAGTTATATATCGATTTTGCAGGTGGAGTTTGATAACGTGCATTCGCTATGCCACAGATGCTGGCAGCAAGCGATGAATGTTATCAGAAGAAATGAAGAAATACCAACCCAGGAGACAGATCCCCCCTTGAGTACAGCCCCAGGAACAAGTACAGCCCAGATGCGGCAAACAATACATGTACAAGAATACACGAGAGCTCCTAATAGGACTGACCGCTGCATTTTTAATAATTGTCCCAATCAGACGCGTTGCAGAATTCCTCGGACAATCATAATTCACATGTTATGTGATCACCATTTGTATATCCCCGGAGGTGCTAGAACATGTCGTGAACATTTAGAATCTAATGAATGGAATGAACTAAGTAATCACTGTAACGTGTCGCATGATTTTGACTCAGCTAATTTTACCGACGTCTGTAGTATTTTTCAAGAAACTATTAATCGTGGAAATAGGTTTGATTTCGATACAATGACGCAATTAGATGAGAATGATTTATTTTTTTGGGTGGGTTATAATTACGAACAGTTCAATGTCATTTTACATCAAACACCATCCATAAGCGAACAAAGTAATCGTCCACGAACAGTTCTTGGTATATACCTTGCAAAACTTAGAACAGGTGAAACTAATGAGAGATTGGCTACATTATTTGGCATGTCTCGTCGCACACTAGAGAGGAAATTGAAGATAGCACGGGGGTGCATGGAGGCAGATTTTGTCAACAGATATTTAGGTTTCAATCATTTAACGAGAAATGACATTCTCGAAAGAAACCTATTGTTACCAAAAGGGATTTTTGGTGATGGCAACAACACCAAAGCAATAACTATTTGCGATGGTACATACATTTATATAGAAAAAAGCAGTAACTTTATGTTCCAACGGCAAACCTACAGTCTGCACAAATTCGAAAACCTTCTCAAACCTTTCATGATTGTCTGCAGTGACGGATATATCATTGATGTCCTCGGCCCATATCCCGCAACAATGTCTGATGCAACAATAATGCAAGGAATTGTACATAATGAAGATAGCGCCTGGCATTGGTTTTTTAACCAAAATGACGTATTTATATTAGACAGAGGGTTTAGAGATTGCGTTGCAAGCATGGAAGAATGTGGATACGAAGTGCATGTACCTCCAAACAAAGATCGACATGAAAGACAATTGACAACCGAACAGGCAAATAAAGCGCGATTAACAACCATTTGTCGATGGGTAGTGGAGGCCATGAACGGTAAAATAAAGCAATGCTTCAAACTTTTACGTCAGACATATATAAATCGCGCCCTGCCTCACATGTTTGTTGACTTTAGAATAGCTGCAAGTCTTTTAAATGCCTTCCATCCTGTGTATGAAGATAATAGATATGCAGTTGATATTTTAAACTTAATTCATCTAAATATTAACACCCCGAATCGGCTGTATGATTATGTTGAGATGAAAAATCTAAACCGACAAAGGAGGAATTTTACTAGAATGGAAGGCAATCTTCCCTTCCTAGAAGATTTTCCACGCCTCACTGAAGAAGACGTAATATTACAAGCTCTAGGCACGTATCAGCAGAAACTTGCCAAATCATACGTTGCAGAACATTTAAATGATGGTGTTTATGTCATAGAAATATGCAGAGAAGACACATTGAACGATCTTTCCGAATGCAACATACTCGAAACAAATGTGTGGTTGCTGCGTGCTCGGATTCAATCAAGACACGTTAGAGCACGCACTTATTATACATATATTTTGATAAACAGAGATCAGGTTGGCAGAAATGCTTTAAATCAGTGTTACTGTACGTGTCTGACAGGAAGAAGAACAATTGGAACCTGCGCTCATGTAGTTTCCGTAATATGGTACCTTGGTTTAGGACGACATGAGCCATTTGTCGCCCCCACATATCATTTAATGCAAATAATCATTGATGATTAAATGTTAGAGTGTGCCTTTTACAATAAAACAATATGCATAGTCATGTTTTTTTTTATTTCTCTCTATTTTGAAAAAGGAAAATACTTGAAAAAAAGCAAACCCGGGGGATATCGATAGTATTATTATTGAAAATATGTTCACTATATCAAGTCTTAATACCAGCCCACGTTACATAACTGTTGGTCTTACGACCAATTTTCATAGAAATTTGCCCATCATCCTTTGAGCACACGCCAACAACTACGGTCGCGTCGAAAGCTTGAAATGCACCTAGAAAAGGAGCCTGTGAAAAAAAAGTCAAAGTTTTTGCAGCGTCATCACAGTCACTCGATGGTAAACCACTTACAACTAAAGCAGCCAAAGACTTAGAAAATGTGCTTAATATGTGTTTAGTAACAGAAAATGCACCTACAAATGTTTTGAAGAAATTAGAACATTGTACCCGACCATACACTCCGGAAGAAGCGCTAGCGGTTCTTATTGACAGAAAATTAACAGTTGAAACATACAATTTTCTACGCTTAGATCTCCAAGACCGTGGCTATGATGCATTTCCGCCTTACTACGAGGGTGCGTTTTTAAGTTCGCGGAATGAGAGGGTTGTGGGGGGGTGATTAGGCTCATTAGGGTCGTAACGTGTTCAGTGACTCATAATTAGTATAAATACGAGGTTTCATAGCTATTAGACCATTAGTCTTTGAGTTATCGTCAATCAAGCAACATAATCGGGAGTGAAAAGTGAAATATGGAAAAAATCGAATATCGTGCCGTTATAAAGTTCCTTACAAAGCAAGGAAAATCAGTTGCGACCATAATGAATGAGATGTCATTGGTTTACGGCGACTCTTGTCCAGGAAAAACCATGGTGTACAAGTGGCACAATTTATTTAAACAAGGAAGGGAATCCCTTGAAGACGATCCGAGGCCGGGCAGGAGCATCGAGGTGACCACGCCAGAACTTATCCAAAAAGTTGACTAAAGAAGAAACAACTCGCAGAAATGGTTGGAGCATCAGATACAACCATTTTTAAAATTCTTCATGATCATCTTGGCATGACTAAGGTCAGTGCAAGATTGGTGCCGAGAATGCTCACGCCGCCGCAAAAACAACAGCGCGTCGAGTGTTCACGTGCATTTTTGGACCTCTGTAATGAAGACAAGGATGATGTATTGAGTCGAATTGTTACTGGAGACGAAACTTGGGCTCATCATTATGAACCTGAGTCGAAACAAGACTCCATGCAGTGGCATAAAAAGGGCGCAGCACCCCCTAAGAAGTTTAAGGTGTCACAGTCAGCTGGGAAAATCATGGCAACGGTCTTTTGGGACTCGGAAGGAATATTATTAATCGACTATAAAGATAAAGGTGTTTCTATAACCGGGGAATACTACGCTTCAATATTAGAGCGACTTAAAGAAGCCATTAAGGAGAAAAGACGGGGAAAATTGACGAAAGGTGTGTTGCTTTTGCACGACAACGCGCCCGTTCACAAGAGCCGCGTTGCATTGGCTGCCCTGCATAAGGTGGGCTTCGATATTTTAGATCACCCACCCTACAGCCCAGACCTGGCCCCGAGTGATTATTACCTGTTTCCAAAAATGAAAAAAGAGCTGCGGGGTAAAAAATTTACCACCGATGATGAAGTCAAGGAGGCAGTTTCGGCGTATTTTATAGACAAAGACCAATCATTTTTTTATGAGGGTATAAATAAATTAATTGAAAGATCTGAAAAATGTATTCGTCTTGCAGGTGAATATATTGAAAAGGAAAAATAATTTGGTTTTTTTATTTCCACTCCTTATCCCCCATTCCGCGAATATAAAAACCTCGTACAAAGTTCAACAAGCAAGAAACAGTTGTTACCTTGCTGACATTACAATATCAGAGAGAGAAGCTTCTGTTCCTTTTCAAAATCTTTTGCAACATACGTTTGACCAGATCTTGAAATTAAATGACGACGTTATAACGCAGTTCTGTGATCAAAACGCTTTAAAAGAATTACAATGTACTTTTGAAGGAAACTGGGGATTCGATGGAAGCACTGGTCAATCGTTGTACAAACAGGCCTTTTCTGATGTCGAAGGTGGCGAAGAAAATAGTCTTATAGCTACCACCTTCATTCCACTGGTGCTGAAAACTGGAAATAACTTTCTTTGGAGGAATCCAACTCCACAATCTTATCGATATTGTCGACCGTTAAGAGTGCAGTACAGAAAAGAGACAAAAGAGACAACTTTATCAG